TTGTTGTTTTTATTAATTGCTCTTCATCCACATGAAAAGCCCACTTGAGCCAACTTCAGAACACTACAAAAGTTCTGATGACTGTTGTATAAATATAAACCCTTGTGACATGGATAACTCATCTCCCTATTTCCATGCTACCCTCAACACCCTCTACCTCTTCCCTGCTTCTCTTAGTCTTTTCCATTAAGCTAGCCTAAGCTTTCTCTTAGCTCAGTTATTCTCTTCCACAACTGAGCCTATGTAGCATTAACTATGAGGTATCTAACTATGAGACAGCATCTTCTCACCTTTGAGCTGTCTAATATGTTGTACAGTTTTTGAATTATTAACTTTTTATGTACCCTCTCTTATCAACTACAGCACAAACTTCCTGAAAACAGAATCTTACTGTACCTATGAGTATCTTTCACAGCATAAATATTAACCAATAAATAGAATCCAATAAATATTTGTGAAAAGAGGGAGGGCGGAATAAATGATGAACTCACCATATAGATCCATAACAAAACAAAAGCAAATATAAAAAAACTATCTTGGCACACTAAAAGAAAATAAGAAGAGCTACCAATAATCAGATTTTTTTAAAAGTCAGAATAACACTCTCTTTATTTTTTTAATCTAAAATCATAACTAGAAATAAAGATTGAAATAAGTCTTTAAAAACTTACTTAAGTGCTTGTGCTCCTGGTCGCTGAGATACTTGAGTGCCCAGGCCAATTATCTGAATTTTCAGTATTTCTGGAATATTTTTATTTTCTCTGATTGTAACAGAGGTACTTACTAACTTCAGAGTCATTATATGGGCAACATACTAAACAGAAAAAATAAATAAAAACTGTTAAAGTTAAAATAATTATTACTTTAATAATTTCTTCTTAAATTTGTTGAATTATAATATAATCTAACTAATGAAGCATGGTAGGTTCTGGCATCCACATGCTCACTATAAATGAAGAAACTCAGATATTTCAACATAAAATTGCCTGCTCATATAGGACATTTGCAAAATATCCAAAAATTCATTTCTCTTGGTTTTAAAGGATAAAAGAATGAAATAATAACAAAATATTTTGTAGCATGAAGATTCAGTTCAGTAGTTTTCACTAAAGCAAACTAAGTAATTCAGACCAACCCTCTGGCTAAGGAAAAGAGAACCTACAAAGAACATCTGCTCGATGGCTGTGGGGAGTTAACAAGACACTGAAAAAAAATCCTGACCCCAAAATATGTGAGTCAAGATTGGAGGCAGGACATAGAACCAGGGAAGTTACTCTGGAATTTGGTGATGTGTTTCCTCTACAGTTATTTGAAAATTTAAGAGGGAGCAGCCTAGAGGCT